TTTTAGTCAAAAAATTTTTTATCCAAGATGCAGGCTACAGATAATACACATTTTTATTGTCTACATATAAAGATAAGAAATATGCCAAAATTTTATCTATATAATTTTATTTAGCAAACACTGCGAGTTGCCATAAACCGGATGTAGATGGTGTATTTCCGCGTTCTCGTAATCCAGGCACGACACAAATTACGAGCCATCCATCCATCCATCCATCCATCCATCCATCCATCCATCCATCCATCCGATTACCCTAGGTGCCTTTTCCCGGCCGCGTAGTAAATGCAGCCGCGTGCGATGCAGCAAATCGCGTAAGCCACCGCCATCGAGATCCTGTCGGAAGAAGCTGATGGGGGTTTATAAGAGAGGAAAGGGAGGCAGAAGCGCGTAAAGATATGCACCCTCGCGAGCTCGCTATGAAATAATCATATGGTTAGCTAATGGCGGCCTCAGGGGGTGGCAGCGGAGCAGTCCTCTCCCTATCGAGGGGATAATAAATAAATTCGATATATTTGTGTGCCCCGCGAAGAGCCCCCCCAAACATTCAATGATAGATCGCAATCTCGGGTCGCCGCCCTCTTTCTCTGCCTCCCTGAGGCGGACGTGCGTGAAGATAGGGATCTTCCTGGTTTCGCCTCGATATTCTTGTCGTACGGCCGACCGGTCGGTGAACAACAGATTGGGGAATATTTCTAGACAGTTCCTCTAAATTGATTTCCGCTCACTGAATCCGCTAATTTGGAATACTAATTAATGTCACATTTTAAGAAAATACGGTCTCCTTATTTTATATATTATATTGTATTTTATATTATTTTTATTATATTGTTTATAATATTCATTTATATTATTTATGTTATATTTTTTTATATTAATCGAATGAGGAATACAACGGTAGACATTACGGGACATTCCCTTATAAATTATGTGCTCTTGTTTTTGGAGATATTTATAAAGAATTCGAAATCATGTAAAGAAATTTAAACTTGTGATATTTAATTCTTTTGCTTATAATATGTAATTTAAAGGGTGTTTCGAAAACTTATTAATTCAAAAAGTAAATATATATAATTATAAATAGTATCAATATAATATAATAGTATATTGTGTATCAAGTGCGGAAAGTTGACAATTGGTCACGAGTACGGGGAATGGACGCACGAGCCGAAGGCGAGTGAACAATTGTCAATCCGCACGTGATACACATACTATTTTGTATTACAAGTGCAGGCAAAGTGGCTTTGTGCGCGTTTTCTGTGCGCGAGGTGACCGATCGCACGCCTTCATCTTGCGGCGGCACAGTGCGGGAATAGCCGTGTTCAAAGTCATTGTCCACGGCTTCAACCGTGGGTAATGACTTCGAACGCGGCTCAGCCGTAGGCAATGGCTTTGAACGCGGCTTATTCACTCACCGCGTCGCCGCTAGATGGCGGCGTGGGAAATCGGCCGCTTTCCGCACAGAAAACACGCGCACAAAGTGCCACTTTGCCTGCACGTGTAATACAAAATAATATAAAATATGATTTAAAATATAATATAATATCATAATATAAACTAATATAAATATATATGTAAATATTATAAAAAATGAAATATTATATATATTTAATATATTATATTTTCACAATTAATTGTTGATCGTCAATGATAAATTTTAACAAATAATAAGATGCAATTTAAAAATTCGACCAAAATCTGGCTATTCATTTATTGAAAATATTATATTTTTAATGTTATATAATGTTTGCGTTGTAAAGTATTTTTTTCTTTTTACGTCTGTTTCCTCTTCTTGTCGTAAATAGTTTGAAATTTTTGAAACATTTAATCAACTTCGCAAACGACTCTGCAACTATGTGTACTTGCATATCATAAATTGTGCGTATAGAGCAAAAGCATGTTTCCAAAGTTCCAACATTTACCTTAAGCGTTAACAAATTTTCTCGCTTCGAGCGTTACATAATTTCCAGAAACCGCACGAGTGGATAACACGATTTGCAACATGATTTAATAAAATCACATACTACAGTTATACAATTTCTCGAGTGAGATGCGAAATTTTAACAAAGATCGAGATTCAAATTACGAAGAATTTTGTTTAACGTTGAAGATTCGGGAAGCGATGCTTTCCCTCTTCAACATTTTCTCTATAAAAGATATCGGTCTGTAATTTATATACGAAACACCTTACTATCTCATCTATCAAATCGACCAGCATCGCCGCCTCAATTACACGATTATGAAAGTATGATTCAGTATTTCGGGTCGCGCTAGAAAGAGAGAGAAAATAGAATCACTCGGAAGGTCTCATCCCTTCTTGGGTTAAAAGATTAAGCGATACTTCTATTCACAGCGCGCGGTGACTTTCACGGGCGTATAATCCCCGAGAAGAGGGTGGCGACAAAAAGAGAGAGAGAGAGAGAGAAAATAAACGGGGGGGGGGGGGCAGAGATGACTACTCGCCCATTCAAAATTATTGCAATCGAAGAGACGCGGGACCCTCGTCCCAACTGTCCCATCTCTGTTGTTGCAGGTTAACTTAAGGGGGCACCGAAAAAAGGGGGCCGAGGGGCACGAAAAGAGGGGGTTGTCACTCGTGTAATCACTCGCAGCAACTCTAATCCGCGCGATCATTTCGCTGCATTTTATTAGCGAATTTGCTTCATCCCTCCGGCCCCCCCCCTCTGCCCCCCTCGATATAGCGTCGGATCGGACACGGGGTTCGTGTTCGTCCATCGCATCTCTCGCTTCGAGAGAGGCTTAAGAGAGATTTTAGGCGCGTCGTGCGTGTTTATGGACGACAGTGAGCGCAAGGAGTTTCGATAACTTCCGAAAAAATGGCGGCGGTACCCCTTTTTTCGCGGAATCCCATTTCGGAAAACACTGGTTGTGCAGCCTGTAATCGTAGCCGGAGAAAAAAAAAAAAAAAAGAGCTGGAGAAGGAGAGAAAGAGTGCTTGGATTAGCTTGCAGTTAGTTATGATTAGACGCGACAGTTGGCCTTCCAACGTCGAAGGGGCAGAAACGCTCTCGCCCCCCTTTTTTTTTCTCCTCTCCTATCGTGTATATTATATATTCCAATACCACTCATTGACGCGAGAGCTCCATCCGTGTGGGTTTCTGCCGAAGAGGGTCGTAGGGGGCGGCGATAATACGCGCTGACAGGCGCGCACCCCTCGCAAGGGGGGCTGAGGGAGGGGGGGGGCGCTTGCGCGGCCGCGAAAGGGGATGCTGCCTGCGAGAAAGGAAAACATATACATATACAACAACCCGATAGAATGAGCATCGCGTGCGCCGACGCTCTCGACCCCCTCTGCACCTTCCATGCTCCGGCCGCACCTCCCTTTTCTCGACGCGCTCGGAATTACACACCGATGTTATAATCCTCTCGTGTTACGCCATCGCACATGCTGTCCTGTAAGCAATACATTGTTTTTTTTCTTCTATCCGGCGCTCTCCCTCCCCAATATCCATATGCGCGGCACTTCGCTGCCGTATGATCGCTCGGTGATCAACGTGCGGTGATTGTCAAGAGAGTGGTACGAAGTGAGATCTCTCTCTACTTCGAGTCGATTTTATAGAGGGGGCTCGACGGCCCATTGTGGCGTTACGTCTAAATATCGAATTGTGCTCGTTTCTATATTGATTAAAGCGGGCGTTTTTACGCGTCGAAGACACGAATGTTCGGTTTGTGCTATGGGTTCTATTTTTATTGGATGTTCTCAGCGATGGTTCTTCGGTTATCAATCTGGCTTTCAGATTTTATTTCGATGTTGTAATTAATTGAGTTTTTAAAATAATGATACGAATTCTCTCTATTGATTAGACAAGAGGATAGAAATTTAATAAATTTTGAGAAATTTTTTTAACGTTCTTATATTTTGAACATACATCATTTAGGGATATTCTCTCTCAACAACGCATTATTCAATTCTCTCTTTATTTCAATCTGTCTTTACTTAGGTATTAGAATTTATTTAGATATTGGAATTTATTTTCACATATTAGAATTTATTTGAAGGGACTTTTAATATGTATTTAAAAATTTGAATCAAGTCCAATAATTAAATTTTACTTTCTACTATTTGGATAAAATATAAGAATAATATTTCATATATTTTACTTGCGAAATAATGGAATCCAGACCAGTTATATACTCGAGTTTTAGATTGAGTATCTGCAAGATTAGAAATAGTACTTATTAATTAAATATTTATAAATACTAGGTCGATAGAAAGTACTATTAAAAATTTATAATATAATTATTAGTATATATAAATACTTATAATAGTATTATTATAAATTCTTAATAGTACTTAGTAATACTCGAATTCTAAGATAAAATATCAATGATACTTGCACACTCATTCACCTACACCTATAATTTTTCATAAGTACTCGTTCAAATATACTTGATTTAGTTTTAAATGTATTTGAAAGTGTTCTTTTTCGAGATACTTATAGAGAGTTCCTTCAGGTTCGAGCTGTACTTGAAAGTACTTGAAAATATTTGAAAGTACTTGAAAGTATTTGAAAGAATTTGAAAGTACTTGGAAGGATTTGAAAGTACTTGAAAGTATTTGAAAGTACTTGAAAGTATTTGAAAGTACTTGAAAGTACTTGAAAGTATTTGAAAGTACTTGAAAGTATTTGAAAGAATTTGAAAGTACTTGGAAGGATTTGAAAGTACTTGAAAGGATTTGAAAGTACTTGAAAGGATTTGAAAGTACTTGAAAGGATTTGAAAGTACTTGAAAGTACTTGAAAGTATTTGAAAGTACTTGAAAGTACTATTTTTTCAAATTAATCATAGAGAATACGAAATTATGCAAACAAATTCAAACCTACTTGCAAGATATTTAAACTCATCGCTGATACATGTATATATATATCATATTTACGACGGGTTTAACCACCTTGCAAGTAGGTTTGAATTTGTACATATATATATATCTCTTTCTCTGGATCTACTCGAGTAATGCACGTCGATTCTTTTGTGCTTCAGATACCTGGTAGCCGGCGGCTTAGTGGATCGCGTGTCACGTCACAGCCGGGCCCTGATCGAGGCGGATTTCTTTCTGGATCAGGAGCACGAGTCGCCGTTGCTGGTGTCGTCTTACGATCTCGTCGCGCGTATCTGCGGCCATCTGAGACGGTCCGCCGATCAAGATAGTGTCAACGTGCACGGCGAGGGTGGCGGCAACAACAACAACGTCGAGCAGACGAGCAACGAGTCGCACTTGCTGTCGACCCTGTCGGCGAGCGAGGCCTCGGGTGCGATCGGCGCCCTTTACGCGGCGGTCGCTTTTGCGCCGCAGAATCAGAAGAGTGGCGCCTCGCCCACCCCCAATCACACATTCACCACCGCCGTGAGGACCCTGGCCAGTCGCGGTCTCAAGTTCCTCAAGTCGATCGCGGAACTCGATCTCCGGACGCTACAGGTAGGTAACATTCCTTCGGGATTTCCTTTTTAACGCGAAACGGTGCGGATCAGTCTCCATCGAAAAACCTACCCCTTTTTCTTCATCGTCTTCAATTTAGCCAAATGATGGTTTAAATGAAAATTTATATATGAATAGTAGATTCAGTCTCAGAAGTGTTTTGTTGAGACAAATCAATATTTCAAGAAAAATTAAAATTATTACAGATCAAACAAAAATTAAATAATTCGAATTTTTCACTAAAATATATTTGTTCGGATAAACTCTATGCTACTGAAGTAAAAGTTTTCTTTTTTATTTTTTTATAAAATTTCTACCCCTTTTTTTATCTCCAATTTAGTTAAATGATGGTTTAAATGAAAATTTATATATGAATAGTAGATTCAGTCTCAGAAGTGTTTTGTTGAGACGAACCAATATTTCAAGAAAAATTAAAATTGTTACAGATCAAACAAAAATTAAATAATTCGAATTTTTCACTAAAATATGTTTGTTCGGATAAATTCTATGCTTCTAAAGTAAAAGTTATACTTTTTATTTTTTTATAAAATTTTTAGGATAATCTAGTGAAAAAAATGTAAATAAATATTTATTTCAATACTGTCTGATAAATCATTTGTTTGAAACAAATAAATATTTATTTGTTTTGAAAAGGATTCCTTATATCAAATAAATATTTTTTACATTAAATCAATAGTTTTAAATAAATGATTTATTTGGTAGTATTGAAATAAATACTTATTCGAATTCAATACATTTTTTTCAGTGTACTAATCATAAACTTTTATTTAAGTCATATAACTTAACTCAATTAAAAATTATTAAAAAATTGAGAAGAATTTGGTCGCAATCTTTGTCGAGAATAGATATTTATAAAAAATAAACATTTATTCGAGTCGAAATTTTGCTCCTATTTTTATTTTCTATTTTTTCACGTATAAAAAAAATTCTGAAAACTTTTATTATATTTTATTTATATAGTAATTTTTTTATTTCTTTTATGCCTCAAATAGCACGAACGAACAGTTTTTAGAGATTTAAAAGAGAACTTTTGCGGCAAAATTATAGTTTAAATAGTTTCAAAATAAAGTGATCTATAATTACTTATAAAGAGAGAGAGTATCAAAGATAGATAGATAAATTAAACATTGAAGTAGGAGAAAAATTTCGACTCGAATACATTTAAATATTTATTACAAATTATAATAAGATCCCATTTTCGATAATATATTGTTCGAAACTAAAATTTCAATTGATTCCGAAAATTGACGTAATAAACATTATTGAAAAATAAAAAACGCGAAGCAGATATCGAATTTTACTAGCATGTAGAATGATGTAATATTAAAGAAGAAAAAATAGTTGGTCGTTGTTTAGATTTTCTAGAGAAAATGGTAGCAAGAAAAACACTTTCAAATTCGTAGAACTCTCAATACAAGGTGATTTAGCATACGGAGAAGCACTGAATGCATAAACTATGGACTTTTAATGAGTAAACTAAGTTAAGCGGAGACCAAGTTGTTATCGGCACTTAATTGCCGAGAAATAGACTTATGTCGGTTTTTTGATCGTTCCTTCTTCTAACATCACTGAATAAATTAGCGCTCATATAATTCTCGATGCACATTTTTACCGAAACTTTATTAAATAATTTATATATCCGAATCCAAATTACAAATACAAAATTATGTTATTAAATATAAAATGTATCATTATTTGTATTTATTATATATTATTATATTTATATACTTATTATATATTATTATATTTATATTTATTATATATTATTATATTATATTTATTACATTTATTATATAATATTTATATTGTCACATTTATTAAATATAAATTTTATTATATTATTAAATATAAAATTATTATAAATATAAAATATGCATCATGCATTAATTTCGAAATTTTGATCGAGATGAGAAATCATGACGTCAGATGTTCGGAGTTAATTAAAAAGATAAAGCTTAAGAAATAATCCCGATCGTCCACATACTCGGTTTCTCGGACTATTATAAGATTCATTACTCTTTAATTCGCAACGCTCTTCGATTTGTCGCCGCCCACCAAATGACAGCGATGCCGCCAACAATGCGGCTTTATCGTTGAAGGGCATCGAGCGAATGATGGAGATATCATGTATCGCGAGGGGGGTAAATTGGGGGGGGGGGGGCAGGGGGTAGTTATATTCGCCCGCCTGTCACAAGACGCAAAGGGCGCCTCCCGTGAATTTCTCGCAGCGAGAGCCGACCGCGAATTGAATCTCTCTCTCGCGCCCCCTGGGCCCCCTTTTTACGAACGAGATCATAAAGGCTCCATCCCGGGTGCCCCGCGGGAGGGCAGCAGCCCCCTTCGGGGTCCCGCGGGAGCGTCCGTCGATTATCCCGCGCGGTCCAGATGAGAGGTTCGCCAGAAACCAGAACGTCTATTATCCATTCTCTTTGCCCTCTTCCATCCCGGATGCGGTTTCGCAAAGTTTCGCGATCGGATCCGCCGTCTTGGATTTCAGCCGCTCGCTAATTTTGTTATTAATAATTCCGTATCGAATCAATAGCCATATGATATATTAATAATATTTTATTATATGTTTTTTTAATTTATTTTATTTTATTTTTTTTTTTTTTACTTTATTTTTAATTATATATTTTATAATATTTATTGTATTATTTTATTATACTGCATTCCTATAATATAATATATTATTATTGTATATTATTATATATATTATTGTATAATATATTATTATTATATTATAGGGATATTATAATATATTATAATATATTATTATATATTATGAATTATATTATATATCATAATATATAATATATAATAATATATTATTATATTACCCCTATAAATATAATAATAATATATTATAAATAATGGATATATTATATATTATATATATAATATATAATAATATATAATAATATATTATATATATATATATAATTATATATATATATCTTATATATATATATAATATATATATTATATATTATGATTATATTATATTCTATAATTATTTACTGTATTTTATTTATACTGCATTCCTATAATATATGATATGGATGTAGTATAATAAAATAATATAAAAAATATGAAATATATTATTATTAATATAAAATATATAATTAAAAATAAAGTAAAATAAAAATAAGATAAATTTAAAAAAATAAAACAAAATATAATTAAATATAAATAATATATAATATATATAATATACATATATTATATCGATATTATTATGCTGGATTCAGCATAGCTAGCAGATTCTAATATATCCAAAGACGATCTATGATTTAAAAAAAATCACGATGCGAATAATTCTTGTTGCAGAGCTTTCTGGGCGCCGAAGGTACGAGTCTGCAGTGGCGATTGATAGCGAGCCATTTGATAACCCGGCTGTCCCGCGATTCTTTATCGGATAAATTAGAAGTAGGATCTATGCCGGATACGAGCGGCATCCACATTCTCTCGGAGCTTTTTATGGTGCTTGGCTACTTCGCTCTGAACAATCCAGACAATCAGGTGCGCATCGGTTTTAATCTATTTTTAAGATATTAATCTAATGGAATTTTTTTCATACAACTATTTTTTATTTCTTGGGATTGTTTTCAATTTATACTTTATGCTTATCATTTAAAAATTAAAATTAATGAATAAAAATAAAATAAAGTAACATGACAATTTACAATTGAACTCGAAAGTTGAACACTAAAATTAAAATGAATTCAAAAACCAAATTTAATTTAATTTAAATATAAATTAAATTAATTTTAAATTAATTTAAATATAAATAAAATAAATATAAATTACATTAAATTGCATATGAACGTATGTTATTGATTATAATTTAATAAGAGATGAGCTCGTTAAAAATATCTTCTCTCTTCGCTTCTGACGTTGTACTGCACGTAAAATCGCTCTAAATTCTTCGAATTGTGGCGGCTTTTCTCCCGATAAAATGTTCGCGTAAAATGAACACGTTGAATGGCGTTAGCGAGCAAGAAGAAGGAAGGAACTGTTAGACACAACACACTCAGCGGACCTCCCTATCAATATACGGCCGAACGCAGTTAAGATATATTTACAGCCTTCCGTTCCATACGACACGCGTGCACGCAGGCAGTGCCGGCTCGTCACAGTTTGCGATGCATATACAAAACTCTCGATAAATAATTGTAACGAGACTTGGAAGATGCAAGAACATCGTCGAACGCGAGATGAGACGTATTTAAAGAGATAAAATAGGAATAACTGTAAAATAAAGAAATAAAACTTTTTTTAAATAAATAATAATACTATAATTTAAATTTTAAATAATAATTATTTAAATATTAATAATAATATTTGAAAATAAATAAATAGTATTTTTATTTAGTCAAATTAGATTAGAAAAAAATAGGAATAACTATAAAATAAAATAAAGAAACAGAACTTTTAAAATTATTCAAATCTTTTTAAAATTATATAAGATAAAGTGTATTATTTATGAAATGTATAAAAAGAGTATTTTTAAAAACTTTCAGATTTTTTAATACAAAATTTTCACTTGTATATGAATAATATACAATTTAATTAGAAATAAAATAGAAAAAATAGCAAATAAAATAAATAACAAAATGTATTTTTAAAAATAATATAATATAAAGTGTATTACACTAATTTTTTTTAAACTTATTTTTAAGCTTTTATTCTGTGCAAAGTTATCATTTGTCTACAATTTAATTTTGATTAACTTTGGAATATTAACATTTGGAAGAGTTAACACTCCGAAAATTAATTACAATTTTTAAAAAATTAGAAAAACTTATAAAAATGCTCTTTAAAAATTTTTTTTTTTTTTTAATTTTAGGAATACTTGTTTTTTGCAATTATCATTTATCTACAATTTAATTTTGATTAAACATTGATAATTAATTTCAATTTAGCTTAGAATTCAAAAATAGAGAACCAAAGATTTATTAACTTCGGAATATCAATACTCCGAAAATGAATTACAATTTTAAAAAATTAGAAAACTTTAGAAGATGTTTTATAATAATTCTTTTTTAAATTTAAGTATACTTGTCTCGTCAAAAAATTGAAGATAAAAATATCGCTATGATCTTCGAGGCGCCCATCGGCTAAGAGCAATCCTGCATCCGTATCCGCGAATGCGTGAATCGGGATGTACATATAGTACATAAGTGCTGAGTGCACCGCCGATGTCACGCATTCGTCTTTCGGCGCTTTTTTAAGCCCTCCTCGGCCCCCTTTGCGGAGAACGAGAAGAGTCAGTCGACCGGTCGACCCTTCGAGAGTAGCTGACTTGGGGAAAATCGTCTTCCGCGAGAATAGAGAGAGAGAGAGAGGGAGAGAGAAAATGGGAGAAACGAGACGCTTTTAAAGCTCTACAAGCATCTGCGGTTATCGCGCCCGACGAAGACATGGCGTGTATCCACCTTCTCCGTTCGCGATCATAAACACGTCGCTATCCTCGTTTTTGTCGGCCGACCGTATAACCGAATTCGAGAAATGGATCTTTTTTCCCTTCCTTTTTTCTGGCGCCGCTCTTATTTTAAGTCCGGAATATTAACTTTCGGAATGTAGCGCGCGCGTGCCGTCGTTCGTCGTTTAATCACGCTTGCTCTTGATTCTTCCATCGATTTTTCGAGAATGTTGCTCTTTGGAAGCAAATAGCGTTAAGGGGATCTTCAGCTAACAAGGGAAGTTAGGCAACCCGAAAATTCCAAAAATTCTGGAACTTGGTGTACAAGTAGAGTAGTTTATCTATAATACAAAACTATTTTTTGTTTGTGCTGAATTACATCCTGAGAGGGTAAAATCACCCTTCATAAATAGGTATGTAGTAGAATGGTCTTTAGCTTCTCTCGTTTTATCTCGAAAATTATTCAAGATATTAAAAAATGTTTTAGACAAAAGTTTTATGATAAAAAGATCTCTACCTAACCACGTTAATAAAATTTTGAGAAACTAATTGTTCTAAATTATTAATCCTCAAAAATTATTTTTTCAAAATATTATTAACGTGGTTCAATAGAGGTGTTTTTACCATAAAACTTTTGTCTGAAACATTTTTTAATATCTTGAATAATTTTCGAGATAAAACAAAAAAAGCTAAAAACCATTGTATTTATGAAAGGTGATTTTACTCCCTCAGGACGTAATTCAGCACAAACAAAAAATAGTTTTTGTTATGGATAAACTGCTGTACTTGTACATCAAGTTTCAGAATTTTTTGAATTTCCGGGTTGCCTAACTTGTAAGTTTCATTCCTGTTTTATCGACAAAATGTGAGGTTAGATTCAGCTATAAATCTATTTATTGGCTATACGGATTGTTTTTTACCCGAAATATTAATACTTTAATAATAAATTTATACTGAGAGCCGATAAAAATATTTCTTATCTGATTAATACTTTAATTTGTACGGGAAAAAGATTCATCAATCTGTATAGTCTTCTTCAAGGTTATTTGAAGTCATTTATTTATTTATTTATATTTTTTTAAGTGAAACCATATTTTTTTGTGAAAAAGTGAATAGTTTATGTAATATTATATTAACCCTCAGTTACCACTCATTTGGCCACCCTATTTTACCACTCAAGGGTTAGAGTAACCCAGAGTCTTCTTTTGTTTATATTTCTGGATCTAATGAAGCTATTTTGAAGTATTTTTTTTCAATCGATACGCCAGACAGTAAGAAAAAAGAATATATCGGTACAAATGTCACCAGATTTTTACGACTTAAGATATTTAAGAAAAAATGAAAAGTGATCTTCTAAAATTCCGAAAAAATCATTTTTGATATGGATTACGTAACCCAGAGAGGTAACCGAGGGTTAAATTTAAGTATGAAATATCTCGTAAGCTATTTACTTTTCGACCATTCAACCCTTATAACTTTTTACACATGGTTCCATTGAAAACAACCTTGAAAATCGGCCTTTAGGAAAAAACCAGTGGTGTCAACTTTTTTCCCCTCGAAATCCTACTACTTTTATTTGAAATATTTTGTATTACACGTGCAGGCAAAGTGGCACTTTCGGTGCATGTTTTCTGTGCGGAAAGCGGCCGATTTCCCCCGCCGCCATCTAGCGGCGACGCGGTGAATGAATAACCCGCGTTCAAAGCCATTATCTACGGCTCAGCCGCGTTAAAAGTCATTGTATACGGCTGAAGCCGTAGGAAATGTATTGAACACGGCTATTTCCGCACCGTGCCGCGGCAAGATGGCGGCGTGCGATCGGCCGCCTCGCGCACAGAAAACGCGCAGAAAAAGCCACTTTGCCTGCACTTGTAATACAAAATAGTATGTGTATCAAGTGCGGAAAGTTAACAATTGGTCACGAGTGCGGAGGATGGACGCACGAGTCGAAGGCGAGTAATATACTATTACTCTGGAAACAATATTTTTGTAGACAAAAATTCGCAACGCTTTATTTTGTCCACCCTGTACAATAATTTCTGTTCATGATCGGGCGTTTCAACGGGTTCTTCCTTACTCCAGCCATTCCGCGTTCATCTTCCTTTTTGCAGAGATTGGGAACTTCGAGACCGTACAAGAACCTTGCTTCGGCCATAACTCGAAACACGTCAAGCAGCCTTCAAGCGTGGATCGATGAGGCTACTTTTACGGCATAGTTTCCCACGATAAAAGCCACTTTTGCAATAGAAAGAGGAACTCTTTCTCTTGTTTTTTCCTTTCTCTCTTTCCACGAAGTGATCGATTTCATCGCGAATCGATAATTCCCGCGAATTTTATAAGTGTTGCAGACGGAAAACTCTGATAACCACGCAAAGGATGAATCGATATTCCATATGAATGCGAGATATACGGGTTACGTAGCTCGAAGGAAGAAGGGACGCATGAAATGTGGGCACTTCCTGCAAGAATTTTCTGCAGGTGCATCAGGAATACAACGTCCTGTGTTCGCAGAGACACTTGTCGTAGACTCAGACATCCGGTGTAATGTCTTTTTTTCTTGCGGATGAAGACTTTCTTTCTCTCTCTCTCTCTCTCTCTCTCTCTCGCTTCCGTGACACCTGGGTCATCTGGATTCTCACGCTCTTTAAGAAAATTACTATGTCGCCTTAATTAACCGCCACGATCGAGAGGCCACGAGAAGGTTCGATATGCGGGTAATTTGTAATTACAAGAGAATCTTCATCCGGTAACTCGCTCGAAATTCCGAGAGCGATTTTGCGAATACACAATTTTGAGAGAAACCGTAATCGTTGGAAATTTATATGGGAGCATAATATTTTATAACGATGAGGAAAAGCTCGAAATGATATTTTATAAAAAATTATAAAACAACAGTCTTCGATAATTTCTTATATCAAATAAATATTTTTTACAGCGGATCAAAATATTATTAATTTCAAATAAATGATGTATAAAAGAGTATTAAAATAAATATTTAAATAATTAAATATATTTAAATAAATGTTTAAATAATTAAATATATTTTTGTTCAGGTGTAGAAAATTATAAAACAACAGATTCTTTAATAATTTCTCGATTCGAAGATTTCTAGTCATTTCTCTTCGATTTCTATCACTTATGATTTTTACAGAAAATTTTTAATTTATTTTATTTAATTTTTAATTTTTTTTTAGAAAAATATGCAAATTTTTTATTAGAAAAAAGTGAGAATTTTTGAAAAAATCTTTGTTGCAGCTGGTTCTCCAATCAGCTGGCGCGGGTCCTAGTGTTCTTCAGCAATTATGCACTCTGCCGTTTCCTTTTTACGGGGATCCGAGATTGTTACCGTACACTTTGCCGGCACTTCTGGCCGCCACGCATAATAATTCCGAGGCAATGGCAATATTGTCTTGCGAAATGTCATACGAGGTAAGTAGGCGAAAATTACAAACGTGTTATATATAACGTAAATTTTATATTCGACAGATATATCAAATTGCAACATTTTGCACGAAATTAAAAAAAATTGTTCCGAAAAATTTTTCAGAAATTAATTATTTTCGAAATATATTATCTGTTTTTCTAATATTAATTAACAATTTTTCCTTTAAAAGGAAAATTTTAAATTATATATATATGTATTAAAAACTTTTTAGCGAATATATATTTTTTATATTAATAGTATCTGCAATTTTTTCTCAATGCAATCAATTACATTTTATGCATTAATGATAACGCATTAATTGGTTATCGGTGACCAGTACACGATTTAACTTGTTTACAGGTGTGTGTATGTGTGTGTAAACAAGTTAAATCACGTAGTGGTCATTAATATATATAAAATGTAATTGACTGCTTTAAATAAAAATACAGATTCCATTAATGTGGAAAATATTTTGCTAAAACCTCGATGAAAATTTATAATATAAGAGAGAAAGACAATTTCTTTCTTAAATACATATATTAGAACAAATATATTTCTAAAAAATTTTATACTATTTAATATTTTTAATTTCTAAAACATTTTATATTTTATAAATTATATATAATAGTTTATATACAAAATTATACCAGTTTAAATATCTATATTTTTAACATGTGATAACATTAATTTTTTTATACTATCTTATATCAACTGTATCGTGTTTATTCAAAAATAACACAATTCATGAATTGATATTCATTATCCGCTTTCATTTATATTACATGCCTTCTCTACCTTTGTCTTTCTTTATGGCTAATAACATTTAACGAAATAAATTTGCAAATTGCATTTACAGTTGCTGGAGCAATACAGAAATTCAGACGAGGGAAAATTGAATCCTTTGGTGCGTTTGCTGAAGGATAACGCCTAGAAGAGTCTGCCTCGCGCTCCAAAAGGTTTGGATTAGTTTAATTTTCCATTTCTTAGAGTCCTCATTACATGCTCTCGTAAGTCCGCGCGTATCATTGACACATCATTATGTCAATTTACAGTCATCTGTTTAATAATTAATAATTTTTTTTTTAAATCGCATCGAATGCGTAATTAATTTAATTTAAAAATTCGCACAGTGCGTTTTTTTTTCGTGTCTATTATCGCATAATTAAATACTACACTGAATAAAATAATTGAATTCGAATAAATATTTATTTCAATACTGCCTAATAAATGATTTATTTGAAACTAATAATATTGATTTGACGTGAAAAATATTATTATTTTTGTTTCAAATAAAGGATTTATTAGGCAGTATATTGAAATAAATATTTATTTATTTAATAATTTTTTTCCACTAACAATAGGTAATATGTCGAACGCGATTCTTCGAGTCCAGGAATAAAACTCAATTCGCGCGGAGACAAAGTTAAATTTACTCGGAAGTTGAGGCGAACGAATAAAAAAATAGCACGTAAGTTAATTTAAACCGGCGCTTCCCAAACCATCTCGGTTCAGTCTATTTACGGCTGCTGAGACACGCATGATAATTTTCCGTTTTACATAGATTTGTAATCTGTGTGCTTCATTCAACACAGAAGATCCTAGAATTACTGAATTTTGTAATTTTATGAATACATTTATGGATTATTTTACGAATATATATTTATATATCATATTAATATATTAATATATACTTGAAATAAAGTGATCTATAATTACAAAATTTATTTACTTCTAAGATTTTTTATGGAGAATCTATTATATAAATTGTTTTAATATTTTAATGCATCATACATGCGCGTTTCCATATAAGTTTATTTAAAACAAAAATTTTTTTAATTGTAGAACTTTGAAATTTTTTACAAATTTATAAAAAATATGCTGATTTAAGAGCAGAATTTCTTGTCTAAATAAAAAAATTGATAGATTTTTTAGAACTATTGTTTCGATTAACGAACTGATTAAAACTTGAAGAGAATACTAAGAAATTAATTTCTTAACAATCTCTGCTCTTTTAATCAGTTTGTTAATCGAAATAAAATTCTAAAAAAAAATTATATCCAACTGCGTGCAGATTCGTTTTCTCTCTCTTAAACTTATCTTTTAAGGGCAAAAACCCTTTTAAATTCCTTATCTTCGCTTGTTTACCAGAGGACGTATGTAAAAATGTAAATTATTTAGAGTGACAATTCACGGGATGCGCGATGCGATAATTTCGATATACATCTGCTTAATTTAAACCTGAAGCACCGCGGAAAAGGGGGGTTAGAAGGGAAAGGGGATTGTGACATTTACTTTCATCATATGTTCACCGAGATTGACAGGTAATTTCGATCGCAAGTCGTTACTGATGCGCAGGAATAAATTATTCTATTACGTTCAACAAAGCAAGATTCACCGAGCGATTAATCGAGTAGTTCAGTAAAATTAGACTTTGACTGCATAAAAATTAGGACCAAGCTGAATTTTTGTGGAGACCTTTATTTCGATGTTCTAATGAAATTCTGAAAAGTACCCTTAATTTCAGCGGCGTTTCCAGGGCGTTTTTTATGGGGAGTAAATTTTAGTTTTTTGCCATTTTCTCGAAAACTATCAATTTTTCGAAAAAAATAGTTATTATCAAAATTGTAGCTCATAAAATTCTCTACAAAAAAGATCTGTATACTTTTTTTCGTACAACTAATCGTTTTTTAGTAAAACGTAAAAAATACGTACTCCTTTTTACATACCACCGCGGAAGTAGAGTACTGGGCGCGTTTTTTTTCGCTCTATATCTTCGAAACGGTTAATTCCACGAAAAAAAGTATAATGATCTTTTTTGTAAAGAATTTTATAAGCTACAATTTTGATAATAATGTTGGCATTTATTTGTTGGGCTCGACTTATTTAGTTATCCGTCGTCCGTCTTGTTATTGCGGGCATGTATTAGTATAAGGCATTGTCTCGGTATTTGCATTCTTTTGTATTGTATGTCTTCCGTACATGTTCATCCGTTCGTCGTCTGAGATTTTTGTCGAATTCGTGTCCTCGCGTGATTGGCGCGATTTGAAGCGTCGGTTATTTTGACGACGGTATATAAGACGACCGCCCGATCGAGAGACACACTCATTATTCTCCTCGTATTGAATCCGCGTAATAAACAGTTCTCAACGCATAAAGTACTTTATTCAAATATCTCCTCGCCCAACAATAACAATTTTTCTCAAAAAATTGATAATTTTCGAGATAATGGCAAAAAACTAAAATTTACTCCCTATAAAAAAACCGCCCTGGATAAAATTAAGGATACTTTTCAGGATTTTATTAGAACATCGAAATAAAAGTCTTCACAAAAATTCAGCTTGGTCCTAATTTTTATGAAGTTTTATCCTTTTCAAGTCTAATTTTACTGGACTAAAAGATATAAATCGTAATTTTATTTCTTGTCTCTCTTTCATCCCTAGATTCGGAAAATGTTTTCTTCATTTTGACAAAAAACTTAAAAATCAGTATTTTTGACAAATTCCAAAGTTCTACGTTTTAAAAAATATTCCTAATAAAACTTACAATTTAATATATTCGCTAAAATGACCTATAATTACAAAATTCAGTTTTAGGATCCTCTCTCTAAAAATTGAATGATGTAGATTGTGCAAAAATAAAGGTACCATTTCATGCTGCCGCAGCAATTTATTGTTATTGGTGAAGTTCAATTGAACGAACACAGCAAAGGCAGAAAAGCAGAAGAACACGCAACTAGTTGATTCTAATTATTATTATTATTATATTAATTAAATAAAAGATTTTAAGAATAAAATAAATTATTACGAGAATATAAAAGCAAAATTCGTAGTTTTTACCTCGAAATAATAAGAGAACAAAGAAATATGCTCTAATAAATTTCGATCACGTTACTGATTTGCTGCTGCAACATGCTGTGTATGAAAAATCACCGTAAGACGGAATCATCATCATGCGTCTCATTTTGTTAGACATTTCTATAAATAGAAATTAATACGAAATTAATTTCACGACACTCCCTACTTTAAGAAAAATATAAGAATGTACGCAAATTGCAGATATAATCGACAGAAACGCGCGGACCATCTGTGAATCTAGTCCTTGTATAACATTAGTAGATTTTACATATACATATAATTTTTCATAAATTAACAAATTTATTGAATTCGAAGAAATATATTATTTTAATACTGCCTTCTAAATTATTTATTTAACTAATAATAATATTGATTAAAATAGTAATATTAATTTAATGTAAAAATAATATTTATTTGATATAAGAAAATCATTTTCAAAACAGATAAATATTTATTTGTTTCCAATAAATGATCGGCAGTATTGAAATAAATATTTATTAATTTAATAATTTTTTTCAGTGCATATATATATAAAATTTTTAGTACATATATATACAATTTTATATTATATATATATACAATATATATAATTTATGTAATTATATATTTATATAATTTTATATAAAATTATATATATAATTTTATATATATTTGCAACTATCACTCTGCGTATCTACTATAATTTGTACTATAATTAATCCTCTCCCTCTCATTTCCGCACGTGCCAATTCTGTCATGCAAAGAATGTGTCTTCAAACTGGGCCTTTTTCGCGTAGCAGTCGTCACGTGGGTACGGCCCGATAAATGTAGAAAAATGCGTATGTTAATCACGTGTTAACTGTGTACTCGAATATATGTATATACAATAGTATCTATCATTTTTTTTAGACAGATTTCTCCTTTTCGAGGATCAAAAATGTACCCTACTATTTTAAACTGATTGTCTCCCGATATTAAGTTTAGAGGATTTAGAGAAATTTTCTTTTAGCTAGGCTACGAAATTATTCGAAAAATGTTTTATTTATCTTTCGAGAATGTTGATTATATTATTTATTTATCTCGAGCGGAATCGTTAATAACGAGTCGCGCGATAAATGTTAATTCTTAAATACAACAGATGCATTCCTGTGCAATGTCCTGTCAAGGCAATTGATATTTAAGTACTGCATTAATTGGAATATAAAAAGTAACAGCTTGCGAGACAATATTTTCTATCAAGTTTTTTTTATGTATTTATTTTAATTTAATTTAAATTAATTTCATTTTGTTCGCTTTGCAAGAATTTTTATTGCGACAAACATCTTCAATCATATAAATTTTAAATATATATTTAAATACCAAATAAATTAAATTTAAATTAATTAAATTAAATTTAAATTTAATTTATTACAATTTGTATTTAAAATATATATATCTTTGAAATATAATTAAGATTCTTTCGTATTGCAAGAAAGGTTCTTGTAAAGTAAAATTTATTCATCTATACTTTCTGATTTTAAATATTAATAAATATAATTATACAATAAGATGGTTCACACATGTTTACAACAAAATAAATTTATTTTCTTGTGAAATTTGATAGAAAATATTGCCTTATTATTTATTATTTTTTCGGGTGACAATATACAAATAGCAAATATTTAACATTAATAATGTTCGAGTCGAACGAAAAACCCGAGAATCGTAAATATCTCGCGCGTTCGACTTTAAATAAAAAAGAATATATATATTTAATAATAGTAATATATAAATAAATAATAGAAAAAAAGTTCAATTAGAATCTCTCTTCTCGAAAATTCCGTCGTCCGAAACTGGAACATAACTTTAAGAGGAAGCAATCTCGGCGAAGCTAATCGATATCGTGTATAGTAGATTAATAGTTGAGAATTAAATCGCAATGTTTAGTGAGCTAGTTTTAGTGGCATCGCTTTTTTGCCGACTTTGCGAGACGAGAAACGGAAAGAGAGGCGGTATTTTTCTACGACAGCTTTGTATAAAAATGCGCATCACTTTCGCAGAAAATCTCTGCAATCCTCCGTATTAATTCGATCCGTACTTAATTAATTAGTCTTCTCTCTTGCGAGAATTTCGCAAATGTTGCGCAGGATATTATTTAGAATATTTTCACAGAAAAAAGTAGCTATGTATAGAGGAATCCTACTCAACTTTGTTGACAAGCTCGCGAATCCGGAAATTCAGATTTCGGTGAAATTTTATACAACAGTTTTATGATAAAAAGATTTCTATCTAATCACATTAATAAAATTTTTTAAAATAATTTAAAACAATTTTTTTCAAAAATTTTGTTGTATTAGTAAAAAAATTATTTTTTAAAATTTGTATTAATATATGCATAGTTAAATAGGCGTTTTTTTTTACAATTTTTACAATGAAACTTTTGTATAAAAATTTTTTTAATATTTAAAATTTAATTTTTTCAAAAATTGTATTGTTAAAAATTATTTTTCCAAAATTTTATTAATGTGATTAAACAGGGATATTTTTATACCATGAAATTTTTGTATAAAACATTTTTTTAGTATCTCGAATGTAATGTGTGTAAAAATTTCGAAATCAGAATTTTTGGGCTTCGCATTGTTCCCTTCTAAGTTCAAATTTTGAGGGAGGTAAATGAATCTGCAGAATAAATCGAAAACGACGACTTCAACGAATGTGCGATGAATTTTCAGTAAAAATGTAATTGTTACACACCAAATAAACAAATAAATAAATGGCGAAGTATGTATCGTATTACAACGAGCAATTGAAAAGTGCGAGACAATTATAATT